TATTTCACTATTTAAAAACATCATGAGGCAATAAAAAAATTAAAGAACATTTGAATTAACAAGATTATTAAGCATGACTGATAATAAATGTGCAGTCAAAAGTCTTTAATCCGGACTCGTCGGGACTTCGGCGATTCCGGATTATCGATTTTTCCGGATTACAGATATCGGTTTAAATCTGGTAAGATGGCATGCAGAAATCTAAATTAAAATGAAACCGTATTTATGATAAGAGCAATTTGATCAAGGTATCCAAAATTTACAAAAAAAAAAAGGCTTAATATTTATTTTGTTACTTTATTAAACATTCTTTCAACATGCGCATGCATACATACGCATAGTCGAAATTAGAAAATTGCACCAGAAAATTTGATTTGTATTTGTAATTTTATAATAACGAGAATTGATTTAAATCATATCAAAGACGGAGTACATCGATATGAAATACTAAATTAGTAAGGAATTATAAGCCGAATAAATATAAAATAAAGACATCTGCCTGCAGATAAGGGATAGTGCTGACGATCATTCCAGTCAATGCATGCCGCAAGTCCCTCCCCCCAAAGAGCATGTGAAACTGATAAACGATTTCGGAAATGGTTAGAAACAAAGGAGCCTTTATCCATTTTTTGCAGCATTCCACTTTTTGTTTGATGGACATCGAACATGTGGAAATCTTTGACATAATCGAAAGTTCCAACTTACTTTTATTAAAATTCTCTAATAGTCTGCAAAAAAATAATAAGCCGGATCCAATCGAATTAAGGAACAATGCAATCTGCAACATTAACTGAATTAGATAATTTTAGCTTAGCTTATACCATCCATTATACATTAAATGTGCAAGCGTAAACGTATTATGCGTATGCACACATGCATATTTGCAGCCGTAAAGGTCTTATGTGTGTCAAAGCGACGCATGCGCAGAAAGTTTGTAGCTTTGAGGTCCAGATTATGGGTGTCCGAATTAACGACTTTTGACTGTATTACAATTTTGGAACTTTTTACGAAAGCAGAAAACTTGTTCTTACCAAACATTAACTATATACTGGTGTAATATAAATTTCAGAAACTCCCTCAGTTCCATTGCTCAACCAGTGTTGCCAAAATTTGAACGTAAAAATGCCCATTGGTCAAACTGACTGATGTGTACTTATAGGTGTTAATGAACACTTTGCTTTTATGGTACAAACCCATAACCTTGCTGCTATGAGACTTTTGTCAGTTCCCAAATTTTAATATTTTTTAAGTGCAATAAAAAAAGTACAAGAACAACAGTTCATTTATATCCTTGTCCATAAATACAAAAGGTGGAATATTGAGAATCAGTCAGGGTCTAATCAAATGAAAGTGCAGATGTTATGAATGCATTATTGCATCCTGCTTATTCATAACTGGCACTAAATCATTTTGCTTGGTGATGGTTTCATGGTTGTTGGGATGTTAATTGTTTTTATTATATTCAAAGTAAATACTTTGAAAAGAATGCCATAATTTAATTTTCTTCAATGCTAATTCTGTGGTATCAACAAATCCAAGTTGATTCTGCTCTACGCACATATCTCCATGATGTTTAGGTATCATTAAACTTTGCTTGTCATTTTTCGGAATTACAGCTAAAGAGTGATAAATTACTAATTACAGCTAACTGTAATTTTACTGATTACAGCTAAAGAGTGATGAGTAAAGATTACTGTGTGTTCTGGAATCAACAAGAAGTGAAGCAGTAGGTGTTTTTGAATTATGAAGAGTGCAAGAGAAAAAAAATGCATTTTTTTGGCAACAGGCTTGCATTACAAGAGTTTTCAAGTTCTGAAACGAAACAATGTATTAAAAACCATTCTCTTCAGTGGCTTGTTACAGATAAATATCGTGTTTAGTTACAGTACAGATTGCTTTGATATGTGTCACATTATTATTTTAGATGAGTTATTTTGTGTTTTTCCGCAAGTTTCTTAAGAGTTCCAAGTAAAATACCACTTTCAACTTATATATCGTGCTGCTTGGTAATGGTTTCCTGGTTGGTGGGACGTTAAGTGTTTATATTATATTTAAAGTAAATACTTAGAAAAGAATGCCATAATTTAATTTTCTTCAACACTAATTCTGTGGTATCATTAAACCTTGCTTGTCAGTTTTTGGAATTATAACTAAAGAGTGACTACTGTGTGTTCTGAGATCAACAAGAAATATCTAGTGTATTAAAAATCAATCTCTTTAGTGGCTTGTTACAAATAAATATTGTGTCTAGATGCAATAGAGATTACTTTAACCCTTTCCGGCACGCTACCTTTTAAAGTTGGAATTTCGATTAAAAAAAAAAAAAAAAAAAAAGGGAGAGATAGGCAGTCTAATTAAGCCTAGAGGAGTACATAAGTAAAATTTTGTGAAGATAACACTTATCGTTTTAATTCTGTGAGTGTGCTCGAAGTGGGCACACTGATTGAATAGAGCTTCGAAAACAGTGCTGAAATGAGCACTGCTGGGAAGCGCTTAAAAGAGTTAGAGATTTTGCCTACGATTAAAAAAGACTAGATTCTGAATACCGTAGCATATTTAGCATTACCCAGGGTGTGCCACGAGGAGACCTGCTACTCTAAACTCCCTAAAAAGCTCTTTTTTGGTTATATGATGATTACGTGTGTATGAATGGGAAAAAGATAACTTGCGTATATGATATTTACATTATTTACACTTTAGTCTATTTTTTCATGGTTGTACTTTTCAATGAAAGTGACACCACCTTTGAAAAAGCACAATCCAATATTACATGTTTTGCACAAGTACCGGGATCCGTATCAGATTCACTATCTGAAAGCAATTCGTGTAGCATTTTCAGTGCTTCAGAAAGGGTCAGCCCTCTCCGATCCATTTGGAAAATAATTAAAAATCCAAAGAATTAAACTAATATTACATCTACAATTAGAAATCATAAACTATAAAATGAAATTAAATAAATGTCTACTACTCAAAACTATTAAATATAGTGCTAGCGAAACTTTAAACGAAAGCGAAAGAGAACTGCTCTAGTGAAAAAATAAACAGCTAACTGATAATATTACCGTTGACCTTCAGAAAATCACCGCAGCAATTTGTTAGTTGATAACCAAATGTCCCCCCCCCCCGAAAAAAAAAGAGAGAGAGAAAAGAAGAAAGAGAAAAATAGGAAATGAAACATAGATGTGGACCCACCTTTCCGTTGTCAATCAATTGGCCAGTGAGATGCGGACAAACAAAGAATTCAGACTCTCAGTTGTCCTAGATTATTGGTGAGTCCAGTCTGGGCACACCTGGGGTTTGCCGTTCGATTTTAGGCAAGATTTTCAAGGTAAAAATTTAAAACTAATATAGAATAAGAAGATTAGCATACAGCCAAAAAAAAAAAAAATAACATAGAAATTTCTTTTCAAACAATTCCTTTTATACCTTAAAAAAAATCTGGAAGATTTCTTTGAAAAATGAGGGTCTTAAAAACCTAAACATAGCTAAAATATATGGACTGGTTTTGTGTTGAGCTGCCATCTAATATAAATAAAGAAGGTTCAGAGTAACCTATAGTAACCTATAAATCCTTTTTCATTCAATTTTTCTGTGCATACAGAAGGAAATTTTTATGTGCCGCAAAGGGTTAATATGTGTCATATTATTATTTTAGATTAAACTCTTATTAGAGTTATTTTATGTTTTTCCACAAGTCTCTTAAGAGTTACAAGTAAAATACCACTTTCAGCTTATAGATAGACAAAATTTAATATGTTGTTCTCAATAATAATTGTATTTGCATCTTATATGCTTAAACAGGCTTTAAATACCAGACCGTAGAATTTATGTGTTATATCATAATATATTTTTTCATAAAAATCTGTTCAGAGCTTTAAGTAAAGTTTCACTTCCAATTTATCAGTTTTAGCCAAAGTCTTGTATGTTGTCCCCATTGATATAAAAGTCATAAATACTGAAATTCTGGGTTCTATTTTAATATAGTTTTTCATTAACAACTGTTGTCGTTTTCAAGTAATGTACCACTTACGGTTGTCCAGTTTTACACAAAATTTAATCCACTCTTTCTATGAATGCAGAAAGCTTAAATATGAGACACATAAATTTTTGGAAGTCTCATACAAGAGTTATATTGGACGAAAAAATCGTCACACATAGACAGGCTACCACACATCATTGTAAAAACATGTTGCGTGGACCCTATTTCTTGTTTGTGCACTGAAAACTCACCATCATATTTTTGGACCAAGAACATTATCTTCCTTAAGTATGTATATAGGTTTGGTGGGAGGTAAAAAGGAGATGTAATACAAGAGCTTATCTATTTGATGCTTATTATATGAAGTATCCACACAGGGCCGAATTTCATTGTTAGGCAACCAGACACTGGTATAAGAACTGACCAATCACAGCCCTCGTTCAGTTACCGCTCACTTCATGATTTCATGGACCAATTGTCAGTTCTGTGTTTAACACATGTGTAGTTTTACCTTTCTTCTTAGCAGTAACTTAAACCATATTCTGTAGATGTGAATGCCATTAACAATGTTTATGCTTTAGTACTGATAATAATGAGTACTCCATCATGTGCATGCTTTTATAGACATATCTAAAACTTCCTTCTTATAGTGTCACTTCTAAATTTAACCTCTATGTAATATAATGCCACATTATCTTAATAATAAATGGCTGATGCGTTATTTTATAAAGAATAAAGTGACTTCACACCTTCTTAAAGTTTAATCATGGCATTTTATGTGGCATTCTGTATTATTTTAAGAGTTGCTATCATTTTGACTGTTGTGGATTCTTATCAGTGTCTTTCAGAAATTTAGCATAATCTGGGCATTTTTGGATTTCAAAATTAAGTATCTGATTTTATGTATTTCTTATCTCATTTAATCAAAAATATATAAGTATTTAAATTAAAATTTATTAGTTAAATAAGTCTGTAAACTTCTTTTTTTTTTTTTTAATTTTGAAATTTTTATTCTATTTAGTATCGGAGGATCGGCATAACTGTCTGTAACCGTGAAGAATATGCATGTGCTTTGATGTATTTAACTGGCTCTGCTTATTTCAATAAAGCTGTTCGTCAAGTGGCTTTTAAGAAAAACATGATTCTTGATGAACATTCTCTTAGAAGGAAAACTGTAAGAGAAGTAAGTAATATTTTCTGTCATTATATTCTGTAGTTTTTTTTTTTAATACATTTTGTGAAGAGATTCAAAAGAAATGTTGCCAACAAAATTGCTATTTGTGTGCATTAATAAAAGAACTTACCATAAGGTGAAAGGATTACATTATGTCTGTGCTTTGACCTAGCATGTTGAAAGTAAGTCCTCCAAGTAAGTGAAACTGTGACTGTGAGCTTAAACTTTGATCCACTCTTATCAGTAAATCTGGAAATTCTTCAAGGGGTCATAGACGTAAAGCAAGACTGGAATTCTCGGAAGGGGGAGATATTCTAAAAAAAAATAAAAACTCCCAGTATTCAAACAATTTAAATGTAAGATAGATTGCAAGTTCCCATCTCTAGCACTATTAAGAATAGGGACCATCTGAAGCAGCATTTTGCCAACCATTCAGATTTTACAGGCCACTCACCTCACAACTTTAAAATCTTGCAACCCACTTAATAAATAAAAAATATCTATAATTACTGCAAACATTTTAAACATTAACATAAGCACTAATATTTTCTTTTGAAATGTATCCATTTTGCAAACACATGTGTAAGCTGACCTTGCAGAAACATATTTAGCTCACAGCAAAAAAGTGTAAAAATTCACCAGCCATGTCTTCAGATTTGTCTGTCTACTTACTCATTATCAGACAAGAGATCTTGGACTTATCAAATATGTTGCTGCTAGAAGACTAAATTGGCATTATTACGACTGAAGAAGATCTTTCAATATAATCTAATTTTATTAGCATCATTTACGTGGAACTATAAACAACGTAAACATGGATGGAATTCCAATCTCTCTCTTTTTCCATTGCCATGCCAACTCAATAACAAGTTAATTAGAAAAGTCAACAGGAAGTGAAAAATACAAGATGAGTGGCAATATTCTCCCACCTTTTGAATTGCATACAAATGCTTTAAAGCAATACAAAACATAAGCAAAATTATAACAGATTTACATTACAAAACCAAACAATCTTATATGTGACATTGCAAAAGTAAAGATTATTAACAGTTCACAAATTCATTCTTTTAGCAGGAATTAATGGACAGCCATATCGAGATTTCTTTCCTTTGAAAACATCAGATGCAGTAGGGCCCAGGTTTAGCTGGCAAAATCAGTTCCTTGGTGGTCCTCGTTGATAGGATCACTAGCACTGAGCTCAAGAGGATAAATTCGTCGTAGCGGTCGTATAATTTCTGCACTGGCTAGTCGCAACTTGGCCACACATTCCACGCCATCATTGCCTGGAAACAATTCGATTACATGAGCCAAAAGCCATTCATTGATTCAACTATGACGATTTCTCCCAGAGAAATCATCTTTCTTCTTGAAGCTACTTTAGGACTTCTTTCTAATTCTCTGAGGTATTCTTTGTAGAAACGTTTGCGTAAATTCAATTGTAAGGTGTGAAGGTAACACACCCATTTCAATATATGCTGGGAATCAATCAGATCCAAATGAAATGTTTCTCTTTCTTTTATGTCTTGAATGAAATGAGCTGGTGTAACAGGTTTCAGCTCCTTGGGATCATCTGACAAATATGTCAGTAATCGTCCATTTACTGTAGCCTCACAATCGTAAAGTCAACATTTCTTCATATGTCATGCAAGCTTTGCCCAAACACTTTTGGAGGAGCTCTTTAATACTGCGGACCATCCTTTCCCAAAATCCACCATACCCTGGAATGAAAGGCAGGCTAAACAACCATTTTATTTTCATTAAAGAACATTCAGCTTGAATGAAATCCCAATCCAAAGATTTCAAAGCATTTGTTGCCTGTACAAAGGTCGTATCATTTTCAGTGTATGGAGTAGAACCTCTTTCTCTTCTTGCCCAGAATCTTCTCAAAGCTTGCATAAATGCTTCGTTGGAGAGAGATGAAACTAGTTCTAGATGGACTACTCGATATACTGCACATGCAAATAGAACTATCCACGCTTTGCTTCCACTGTATAAGGAAAGTGGACTGGCCAGATCCGCTCCAATTATTTGAAAGGCTGCAACTGGTGTATTCTATCGGGAGGTAAAGGAGCTGCATTTGGATTAACTTCGCCAGCTGTAAGCCTTTTGCATTTTATACACTGCTAAATCATAAAATTGCTCTTACAACTCTCCGACCCTTGGGAATCCATAATTTTTCGCTTAACTGTGTTAAAGCATCACCACCGGAAAAACAAGGCCTCGACACTGTGATCATGACGTCATTAGTAGCGGGCAAAGGAATAGCGCTCGCAGCTTCTACACAACGTGAATTTTTTGAAAAATTCGAAATTTTCTTTTCTCCAAAGTAAACAATAATGTAAGTAAATAAAATGCATAAAAAATTTTAATTCAGGTGAATTTTTGGTATATTTATGAACATTTCAAGGGCATTTAAAGGTCTGACACATTATGGTTTCTGTACATTTTTTGTCATGTCTGCTAACAGATTCATTTTGTTTTTACTGTAAGAATGGCAATATGTATATTATTTCCCCCTTGAATGACAAAGAACGTCTGCTTTCAACATTGTTTATATTAGCTCCATAACAAAGTTCGTTTGCTGTATGTTTAAAACCTGTGGTTATATCTAAATCAAAACATATGCATCCTGGGAGTTGTAGATGAAACAAACTTATGTCTTTCAACATAATCATAAGGAAAAAAAAAAACTGCAAGCAATAGATAATCTAAAGGAAATGTTACATTGTAGTGATGATGACATGGAAAGTTATATTTAATTATCTATAATTTGACTGACTAAAATTTATGCTATTTCTTATATGAAATATTATACAGAATAACAAAAATACATTTTATTGATTTAATTATAACATTTTTCTTAAATATTAAACATATTCAAAATGATGTTATAACCAAAATTAGAAGCTGTATGAAATTTAATAAATATCAATTTTGATATATATATATTTACACTTAATATTTTAATTACATTGTTTATATAGAATAACTAAAGTAATAAGTTTTTAGGCAGTAACATGAAATTTAAGTAAAAATAGGTTAGCAAGTGATGTATTGTGAATAATGTTTGTGTATAGCATTTGATACTTTAGAAACCAATTAAATAAAAATTGAATTCAGCAAAAGCTAATAAATGAAGTAGTGGTATATTATAATGCATGAGGATGCCTAAATTATTTTCTAGCATAGTGTAAGTTACAAGAGATTATTGTGAATAATGTTTGTGTATAGCATTTGATACTTTAGAAACCAATTAAATAAAAACTGAATTCAGCAAAAGCTAATAAATGAAGTAGTGGTATATTCTAATGCATGAGGATGCCTGAATTATTTTCTAGCATAGTGTAAGTTACAAGAGATTAACAATATTTGAAATATAATAGGTGATGCATTGTGTGTTATGTTTATTTACATAGTATATAAAATTAATTATATTGAATTCAGAAAGAACTAATGAATATAATAATAATGTAAAAGCTTTTATAAGTTATTTTCTAGCATATGAAATATAGGTTAGCAGTATGTGAAATGTAATGCGTGACATTCATGCACTACATGTCTACAGAATATGACACAGCATATAAAATTAATTCTGTTGAAACAAATTGAGCAAAAACAAGAGAACCTAGGAAAAGCTAGTGAATAATGTAATGATATGCTACAATATAAAAGCATTTATAAGTCAGTTTTCAAGTATGCAACTAGGAGAAATTCTTTATATTCAGTTAATATACGTTTATTATCTTTCAAAATTTTAGGCATTTCAAATGTGCCTTGCATTTTAATTTTTATCAAATTGTTTCCACATTAAATTTATTAGATTCATAAGAGAATTGTTAATTCATTTTAGCGTTGATAAACCTTTACAGGAATTATTAGGCTTTTCATAAAATAATTTAAAATTGCAAGTAACATTTTGTGCATTGTTCATGTCTACAGAACATAACATATAAAACTGATTCTACTAAAAGCAGTGAAATTGATTGTTTTAAAACGAGCTTAACAGAAATTGAATTGAGAAAAAGTTAATAAATGCGTTAATGATATATTTCAATGCAAAAGTATTTAGAAGTTATTTTTTATGATTTAAGATTTTTGAAAATTATAGGTATTTAAAATGTCTTTGCATTTGAATTTTTATCACATTGTTTTCACACTAAATTTATATGATTCTGATATTTAAGAGATTTGCTGAAATTTCTTCTAATGAATTACTATAAACTAACTTTTAAATTTTAAGTTGCTTTTAAATTATTCGCAGTATTTGTTGGAATACATGGCCTTGATTAGAAAATCTGTATCATAGAAAATATTATATGATTCATTAAAAAAAGCTTATTTACATAGCTTAATCCTTAAATATCTGTTTCTATTCAAGCAATATTTATTCAAAACATTGCAGGTTTCCAGCATAATAAGTAGTAACTAGACATAAGTATAATATAGTTAATGCAGTTTTTGGCCTCTGGGACAAGTAACGGAAATTATTGCTGGAAAGGAAGGAATCATCAGACTCGTGAAACTTCGAACAGCTCATGGAGAAATAAACAATGGTTGTTCTTGTGAAATGACGAAGGATGTTCAAGCTAAAATGCAAAAAAAAGCAAGTGTCTTATTCTGATGTATTCCAGGCATGAGTAGCAGACCCTGTAGAACCCATTACACGAACTGTAACAAGTCGATCTGGAAAAGGTATCAAAGTGCCAGAAAGACTTAATTTATATCACGAATGTTAATTGTTGAGTTGGGATGTCTCCCAACTTAAGGTGGGAGGATGTAAAAAACTGAGTGTTAAATTTATGCAAGCATATTGTTGTCAGTATAACTTCACAAGTGTAACTTTTGCAGCTATGTTATTCTGAGTCTGGCAACTGAAAAGAGAATTCTAATGTTTGGAATTTAATGAGAATTGTCTTCGTATTCGTAGTTAGATGTCTTAAAATATAAACATTGCAATTATTAATGCTACAAAGAATAAAAGGAGTGTTGTGTCAATACTTAGCGCAGTA